ATGACCGGCAAATTAGTTAACTCTGGTCTGTTTGGTAGAGCTCCAACTCCTAAATTTAATTATAGGAGTTGGGTCTGAGAATTATGGAGCTGCCTAAACCCAGCTTCACCTCTCTCTAGTTCGGGCCTGTTTGGCACAGGTCCAGCTCCACCCCTCCTGGAGCTCGAGCTCAGCCAAACAGTTTCAGCTTCACCAAAACTGGGAGTGGAGTTGGGTGGAGCTTCTCACAAAATGTACTAGAGTTGTGGATTTGGGTTTAGGCAGCTCCACAAGTCCACACCAGACTCAACTCCTGGAGTTATATTTAGGAGTTGGAGCTGTACTAAACAGGCCCTCATTTTGTGAGAGAGCTCCACTAAGCTCTAGGCTGGAACTGTTTGGCTGAGCTCCAGCTTCAAAAGAGGTGGAGCACTGAAGCTGTAGCTGTGTCAAAAGGCCCTAAGCAATGTAATATAGCTAGTCCTGCTTTAATTGAGCAAGTAGCGGCTTTAATAGTTGAACTTGACATGCATACGTGTACGGTGACGCGGTTTAATGCAATGCACGTACGTATATACGTACGCGTCGACGTAGATTTTTATTATCAGCTGGTCCCCGGATTTAATTCGCCGCGAGCACATGTACCACACGCATATATACGTACGTACGTACTATACCATGCAATTGACCCTATAATTAATTAGCTAACTCTGAAATATGTTTTTTTTTCTTAGAAAAACATTAGGAGACGCACTGATAACACAATCCGGCCTAGGTGGGGTTGGCCGACCCACTCGGGAAAATGCCCAATCACCCTAAAAGACTAGTCTAATAGAAGAAGGGTGACTCTCCCTTTTAAGGTGACTTCCTCCTCCCAAGTTAAGCAAGGTATAGGATTATTCAAAGGCTCACACGGTCGCCGCCTGACTTTGACGTCTTTGCCAGTGGGTAATAGTGGAGGATGTCCTCATCACGCACTCACACAACTATACTTACCCCTATTTCTTAGAAGCAGATGCACATGTATCTCAATATACGTCTACAAGTACTCAAAATACAGATGTTAGGAATAAATCCATGAAGTAGCTCCACTTATCTCCCACGAAATTCCTACAAGTAAATTTCACAGAATTACATGTAGGTAGTCTGACCAAACTATCACAAGACACTAGAGATTTAAGATGGTGTATCCCAAAACTAGCAGTCTTATCTTTTCGATTATGCTTATGCTTATCAACCAAAATTTAAATTTTTAACCTTAAATTTGAAATTGATTTTGAAGTTTTTTTCCATTGAAGTTTATTTTTCAGCATTTTCTTTTAGATGGCTAAGAACACACATATAATAGTTTTACTCACAAATTATTTTCCGTTTGTAAATATGCCGTTGGCTTATTCTTTATATAAACCAAACAACGGGGACCTAGATTTTACACCAAATTTATCATACATAAAACTATATATTTAAGGTGCAACATCACAAAACTATATATTTAAAAATTAATTTATCACAAAACTATATAATCCAGAGCTTAAATAATACCTAGCACTATTAAACATTATAGTCATGATTAAATTGACGTTAAATATGTAGTTTTATGATAACTTGATTACTAAATCTATGGTTTTATATTTAATTTTAAACATATAGTTTTATGATAAATTTAGTGTTAAATCTACATTTTTTTTCATACACCATCTTATGTAATTTTGTGATAGTTTGTTCAATGAATCTATAGTACATTATTTTGTAAAATTTACTCAATTCCTACCGAAAGAGCACCTACGTAACTGTGCGACACTAAGATTTTGAACCCTTAGTTAGCAAGTGGCATGCACCTACAACTTCACCGTCACACTAAATATGCTACCCTACTAATTTGATTTCGATCAAAAGCTTGAATAAGGAAGCTAGTGTCTACTAATTGCCCAAAATCCTTGCATGCATGTGTAGCGTGTGAAATACTAATTATTGCCGAATCATCAACACGCGGGAAGAGATAAATGTTCTGTCGGTGAAGAGGGGATAAAAAGCACGTGTCATGTATATTCTTCGATATATCTCTGTCATGACGAGGATGGTAATTGCATTTGGCAGCTAGGTACTGCATATCTATATGTGTACATGTTGAGCAGCTTTCTCCAAGAGAGAGAAATTAACATCATGCAAGAGATATATAGATGCAACTAGCTAGAGGTCTCCCTCCTGTCATGAAAACTAGTAATTGCTAGCTAGCTTAATTGTGGTGTGGCAAATGAGGGATCACACAAACATGTTCACATCAACTATTGATTAATCAATTACTAAGGCGATCAATAGTAATCACTGTGCATGCTAAAGAGAAAGGCAGTTGGAAATAGTATTATTATTAGGCAAAATTTGCTACAGGACACGCAAAAAACGTGTAATTAGCTGGGAGACACCGCGAAAACGTGACACGGCTGATGGACACTACAAAATTTGTGTAATTGGCTATAGGACACTGGTCGCATTATTTTATTATTTCCGAGTCAAAACAAGTGATATATTTTTCTGAATGTCTAGATTGCCCTTTCTCTTTCCTTCCTTTTCTCCTACGCCGGGAACCTGCGTGATGGGACGAGGTCGGCGAGGTCACCGGGAACCCGCGCGATGGGACGAGGTCGGCGCAGGCGCGAGCTTGATGGCGGCAGCGGGGCGGCAGACGGAGAGGCCCGCCTCGGCGAGGCCGGCGGGGCCGCTGACGATGACGGCGAGGTCGACGGGCCTAGAGCAGGCACCCGGGGGGAGGGGTCGCCGACCGCTGCCGCGCGGGTGGGGGGAGGCGTCGGCGAGCTCGGCGCGAGTGGGCGGGCATGAGCTCGGCGCGAGCTCGGCGCGAGTGGGCGGGCATGAGCTCGGCGGCAGCGGGGCGGCAGGGCGAGAAGGCGCTCGGTGTTCTCGGCGAAGGCGCTGAGTGTCCGCGGCGAAGACGACGACTACGGCGAGGGCGAGAGCAGCGGCGCATCGCCGCCAACTCCCTCTCCGGTAGCAGCTCACGGCGCCCACCTCCATCTCGCCGGACAAGAGGAAGACCGGCCAGCTAGCAGCTAGCAGCAGCCAAGCATGCGCCGGCGAGCTCGCTCCACCAGCAAGAAGATGGCTAGCTAGCTCCTTCAATTCAGACTTGAGAGCTTGAGCAGGCAGCAATGGCGAGCTCCTTCAGACTTCAGGCTTGAGAGCTTGAGCAGGCAGCCAGGAGGCAGCTGCAGCCGGTCAGGGGCTCGATCTGGTCTCTGATTTGCAAGTCGGAGCATGCACAGGCGTCCTCTTGTGCCGACCTCGCCAACCTCGCCCCACTGCGCGCGATCCCGGCGAAGGAGAAAACCAAGGAAAGAGAAGGGGCAATCTGGGCATTTAGAAAAATATCTCACCTCTTTTGATCCGAAAATAATAAAATAATACGACAAGTGTCCTATAGCTAATTACACAATTTTTGTAGTGTCCGTTAGCCGTATCACGTTTTCACGGTGTCTTCCAGCTAATTACACGTTTTTTGCGTGTCCTGTAGCAAATTTTGCCTTATTATTATTTAACATGTGGTTACCATCCAAATGCCATCTCTTCCACACATGCAGTACCGCTCTATCTAGCTAGCACTACTGTTTGTCTGTCCCTAACCAAGCTATAGATATAGATAACCAAAGGCTAATTAATTAGGCCCCCATGGCCATGCATGATAAGATTCTGTGTGTGCTGTGGCATATCTGGCTAGCAATTAATTATTACATGTAATTAATTGTTAATTAATTAATTAATTAATTAATTGATGGTGAGAAGATGAGACCGATAATTAAACCATGTTGGTCGGTTGCTTGCGTTCCAATTAAATCACTGGTCGAGAATGAAGTGATGCTAAAGCAAAGCGAATGTGTGTGTACAAAGTCCAACAGGGGCATGCATCCATGCAGAGCTAGCAATAGCATCTGCAGTAGTTAGTGGCAGATCGATCGATGCAAAAGTGTCAAGGTGAACATAATGTTAGCAGGAGAAAGATAGATAAGAGGCAAAAAGCTTAAGGCAGAAAAAGAGTCCAACATATGCAGCTGCTGCTAGCCCTACCAACACGGCTGATCTGACGAAGTGTGATGATGAGCTGGGTGGATGGTTACTACACCTGATCACCACACATACCCTGGAGATAATTGGTGAAGCTGCCATTAGCAGCAGAAGCAACCGTTTTCTGCTTCGTTGTGTGTAATACGTGATTAACTTATTGATTTACGCATTTTAAGACAAATTTATGATATTAACCTCTCCCCACCCACACTTATGATATTATGGTAGGTACATTTTAAGACAATTTTACTTATATTAATTTTACGTTTCTAAATTATTGTTTTAGAAGTTAGTGATGGTCAAAGTTCCAAAACATCAATCGAGGGGTTCCTTTGACATAGAGGATTGGCAAAGAATTTTTGAAATATTCAATTCTCTTCGGAATTTTTTCCCCATAGGATCCTTTGATTCGTAGGAACAAGATATGAATATTTTCGTAGGATTACATATTTCTATGATCAATTTCATAGAAAAATAAACAAAAGGTTAGACTTCTTGGAAACTTTTCATGGGTTTAATTTTTTTTCCAATGGTGCAATCAATGTGCTCCTCTTTCCATTTCCTACCCCTTTAATTCCTACATTTTTCCTATTACTTATCCTGCGTTTCAAAGAGGACCTAAATCTTGTCTTAAATTAAACGACAAACATTTATGACCAAAGTGAGTACTATTATAGGTTGAAGTTAGTAAAGGTGGTGGAAAATATTAGCAAGTGATCGAGAGAGAGGAGAGAGCTTAAGGTAGGGAGACCTGAGCTGAGAAGAGAAAGTCTTCGAGAAGAAGAAGAAGATGATGAGATGAGATGCTTCATCACTCATCAGAGAGAGTGTAACACTCTGCACACCACAATGGCCACCTACCTGAGAGCGACCTCCCGCCTCCCGCCCACGCAATCACCTCTCTCTCTCTCTCTCTCTCTCTCCCGCCTTTTATACCTCGTCTTCTTCCCCCTCCCATCCCCCCCCCCCCCTCTCCTCTGTCCCAGCTCAAGCTTTCGTCTTCGTCTTCGCCATCGTCGTCGGGACATCGCCGGCGGTTTGGTTTGTTCTCTCTCGGTCGTCGTCGGCGGCAATTGCGACATTGAGCACGGTGGTGGTGGTGGCCATCTATGGCGAAGCGGGCGGGCGGCGCGAGGAAGAAGCTGAGGAGAGGGCTGTGGTCGCCGGAGGAGGACGAGAAGCTGATGAACCACATTGCCAAGTATGGCCATGGCTGCTGGAGCTCCGTCCCCAAGCTTGCAGGTATATACACTCACTAGCTATATCTAACTATACATAGTTCATAGCTCTAGTAGCACTAGTACTACTACAAAGATGGACAATGTAATTTAGCTTAATTAGTGCCATAATACTAGTTACTCTCTCTGTGCATGATTTGTGCAATTGTGCTTAATTACGAAATTTTCATGTCACTTAATTAACTGAATTGAGCTGAAATGAACCTTTTTAGGTAGGAATTAATTGGTAGTTTGAATTTGATATATATCATTAGAAATTCCAATTTGTGGTTGCATTAGGCCTTGAGAGATGTGGGAAGAGCTGCAGGCTGAGGTGGATAAACTACCTCAGGCCAGACCTCAAGAGGGGAGCATTCTCACAGGAAGAAGAAGACCTCATCATCCATCTCCATTCCATGCTAGGAAACAAGTAATTAACTCAAACAAATCCATATACACATTACTACTAGATTATCATACTAGTAATTTAACTACTTCTCTTAATTAATTATAGCTTGGATGATTTCTAGCTAATTAATCAATCAAACAGGAAATTAATCAGCTTGAATTGAATCAGGTGGTCTCAGATTGCGGCTCAGCTGCCGGGTCGGACGGACAACGAGGTCAAGAACTTCTGGAACTCTTACATCAAGAAGAAGCTTCGCCAGCGCGGCATCGATCCGGCCACCCACAAGCCGCTCGCCGAGGTCGTCGCCGCCGCCGCCTGCGCCCGCACGCCGGCGGTGTTCAGCGACGCCGAGCTCATCCTGTCCTCCATCGGCGCCCAGCCGCCGCCGGAGAGCTATGATGGCAGCCGGTACAGCACGGAGTGCGGCGCCGCGAGTGTCGGCGGCGACGGGTCGCTGTCGTCGCTGTCCGGGTACAGCCAAGCGACAGCGGAGTTCGCGGTGGACGGCGCCAGCGCGAGCGCGCTGCTGCACTGCGGCGGCGGCGGCCCCACCTCCTCCGGTGGTGGCGCCCCGCCGGCGCCCACGGCGGCGGTTATCCCGTCGGTGTCGAGCTCCAGCACGCTGAACTCGATGGTTGGCCTAAGCCCCGCCGCCACCACCACCACCACCACCACCGACGAGCAGTACGGCAACACCAACCACCTCCCATGGCTGGAGCTGGGCCCAAGCACCACCACCCCCTCCTCCTCCGCCGCCGCCGCCACGTTCGACCACTACGGCGCCGCGCTGGACGAGCTCAAGTGGTCCGATTACGTGTTCGACGGCTACAACCACCAGCTACCTCCGTACAACCATGGCGGCATCTATGGCGGCGGCGACAGCAAGGACACGGCGGTGCACTTCGACGCCCACGCCCTCGGCAACTGGTGCTAGCAGCTACCCCTCCGTAAAAAAAAAAACAATTCTAGCTACAAACCTGGACATATGCGTGTCTAGATTCATAGCTAAAGTTTGTTTTTTTATGGGACAGAGTAGTACCATCTAGCTAAGCTCGAATCCACCCCAAATTAGGCGCAACGAGACCGACGGCGAGCGATGAGCCATAGCAATGATCAGCCGATCAATTAGTAGGCGCCATAATTGCATGCAAGCATGCTGCTACGTATAAATGTACGTATACCTACGGGTCAAGTTTTCAACGTGTATACGCGCGTGTGAATTAATTAAGTCGGCGCGTACGTAATTAAGATCATAGCTGATGTTTGGTGAGAGGTTTTTGGGTTGTCAAAAGATTTTTTTTTTTTTTGGTTTAGTTTCTTTCATTTCTCTTCTCTCCTTTGATCGATCGATCGAGAGATATCGATGGATCGGGCATTAGTTTGCTGCTTTTGAGTGACATGATTGTGATGATAATTAAAGTCTTTAATCTCGATCGCCGGTACACGTACAACATGTAAAGTTCTTCATATGATGATATATATAAATATATATATAGACATTGATGCTGAAATCCGTACGTGTAAATATATTATGTGATCATGGTGTTCTATATTTCATATTTGAGTGGTCAGTTAATTGAATTAATTAATTAATTAAGTAATGGTGGTGATTAATCAGTGTCAGACTGTCAGTGCATAGCTTTATAATGGGGTCGTCCGGCCATATATTCGTGTCTGTTTCTTCTCCCTTTCAGAGTTGGGTGTTGGTCCCGTGTGTAATTACGTGGCTCGTTGCTTCAATTTGCCAATGATTGAGCTAATTAAACATCCATGCCCAAGATGTACTTTTACTGTACACTATTTGTCCGGTAGCTAGCTAGCACAGAGATCTGCCTAGAACGTGACCGTTCAATCATAGTTTTGGAAAGGCAACTTAGTAATTAATTTAGTTTGCATGTGTTAATTTACCTTTGCTAAGGTTGGCAATTACCTCACTAGTTCCTGAAAGATCAATATATGAGCACTAGATGGATTGTTTTTAATAATGGAATTCATTCCCATCTTTGCTTCCAAGAAGTTACAACCAATTATTATAAAAGTTACAGATCGATCGAAAAAAATATAAATTATAAAACCACAGCTTGATTAAAACACAAGAAACTATTTAGCTTTACCAACCTATAATATCAAGGTATGAACATTAGCTGGATGGGAAAGCATCAATGGTACGTTGGTAAAATCGTGAGTACCAGAGGCTGGAAGGGCTGAAAATTATGCTACTAGGGTTGAAATCGTACTTGTGACTAAATAACTCTAACCACTAGAGTTCAAATCGTACGGGGTGTCTGTAAACATAGTTGTATAGACATTTAATTAGTGCAGAGGCTAGAAGAGTTGTACTACCTTTTTCATAAAAAAGAGAGCAAGAGAGCATTACTTGAATACATAAGGTTGTCCAGATTCGTTGTACTAGAAAATATCATCTCTAATATTAGGTTGGGTTTTTGAGACGGAGGGAGTAGATACATGCAGACAAGTACTCTCTGCATTCTTTCTTCTATCAAATATTTTGATAATACAAAGTATTACCATTTTTTAAGTAAATTTCATAAAACTACAAATATTTTGATCAAAATTTCACTCAAAACTATAATTTAAGATGATATATCACAAAACTATATATTTAACAATCAACAAAACTACATATTTAAGGCTAAGTATTACAAAACTACAGATTTAATAATAAAATTATTACAAAACTAGGAATGTTATGTGTGAGTTATAAATGTCCAAATTTTATGATTAAATTTTTGATAACTTTGTTACTTAAAATATGCAGTTTAGCAATATTTCACCTTAAATCTGTAAGTAGTTTGTGATAAATTTAGTTAAATCTATAATTTTATGATACATCATGTTAACTCTATATTTTTGTGATAGTTTAACCAAAGTACTTATAGTTAAGTGAAATTTACTATTATTTTTAGCGATTTTATTTTTTAGAAAAAATGTTGCAAGTTTGTTTCGTAATAAAACCCATCGATATCAATTTTTGGATACTGAATATTAATATTCTTGATCAATATATCAATGGTTTGAGATTTTTTAGTTTGGACATTTATAACATTCCTAGTTGAGTGTAAACATGATCGACATGGATTTATATACAGCCATAGCAAACCTAACAATAATGCAAATGGAGAGGACCAATTAGTTGAGTGTAAACCATGCATGTGCGTCGATCTTTAAAGTAGCCAGTTTTTATATATAAATCATGTGCAGAGTAAAGCACACAATTGGGCGGTTCACAAATGCTATTTTGTTTAATTAATTAATCTTCTCGCGATCAAACGCTAGCGTTTGGCGAACTAAGTACATACGTGGATGGAGACACATGCAGGCAAGCAGCAGTAGCTAGCTAGCACTTTGGCCCCGTTTAGTTGCTAAAAAGTTTTTCCCAAAAACATAACATCGAATCTTTGGACACATGTATAGAGCATTAAATATAAACTAAAAGAAAAACTAATTGCACAGTTAGGGGGGAAATCACGAGACGAATCTTTTGAGCCTAATTAGTCCATAATTAGCTATAAGTGCTACAGTAACCCACATGTGCTAATGGCGGATTAATTGGGCTCAAAAGATTCGTCTCGCGGTTTTCAGGCGAGTTATGAAATTAGTTTTTTCATTCGTGTCCGAAAACCCTTTCCGATATCTGATCAAATGTCTGATGTGATACCCAAAAATTTTCATTTCACGAACTAAACATGCCCTTTGTGTTGAAGAATTGAAGGGTAACTAGTGAATGGTTTTGTTTGTCAAAAAAAAAAAACTAGCGAATGGTTTCTTCATCTTTTACCTCTCTCATCATTAACTCTCTTCCACATCATATTTTTACTTATGTAATAATATATTTAATGCTATAGACACTAAATGGTATGCAGTCTTGGGGATGGCCTAAGTGCCTAACCGCTCGAGAGGATATCCTCTTGTTTATCTTTTCCAACTAAATTCAACACAAATGGTCATAAAATATTTAAAAAAACTTGACAATACAGAGTACAGTGATACACACTAATTAATTAAAAAAAAGATAAATTTGAGTATACAATACTATTTAAATGCTGGATTTATCTTTTTTTTTATCTCGATCAACATATGAGCTGAGAATATACTTTAGATATTGTTACACAGAAATGAGGGAATATTCTCACGATCGATTAATAAAACTGTTTCCGGCTGCATTTTGAACTCATGATGCTAGCTTAATGGGCACACTCAATAATCACTATCATTGAGTCGCCATAGATGGAGAGATGCTGAGGCAGCTATCGCAAATAGGACTATAGGAATAGGAATAGGAGTGCTAATCAAACACCTGCAGGTCAGTGTATAATGGCGACCGGCAAAAGATGGCCTTGATTGATTCATTTTTATTTAGGAAATTAATTAATTAAAGAGCAACTAACATGCATTTCTCGTGTCGTGATATATATGCAGCGCAAATTAAAATACGTAATCCGCCCATTACAAAATCTGACACGTATTACGTACACGTCCATGGATCTAGCTACACACCTCACCTCGCGTCTCGCGTCTACTTCAGACTTCAGAGTTCAGATGATTAATTATATATGCAAATTTTATTATTGTTTTAAGTAGTACTAATTACTCTGTCTGTTCTATAATATAAAGGATTTTAAAGAATTATATCCCTCCAAAATACTTATATTATGAGTGGGAAGGAGTAATAATTAACTAGTGACAAAAAGATGCATACACTTGGTGCGGCCCTGCTTAGATACACTGATCATGAGCGCATGGCCAGCAACCTCTGTAACCGACAAAAAGAGGGGGGCTAATTATGACCTTGATCGTACGTCATGTCTCTCGTCCTGTTTTCACTTTTTTTGTCAATGAATAAGCAGAAAATATAACGCCATGCTTCTAAAAGGGAAAAGTTCGAATTACACTGGACGAATTAAACCCCTTTACTTTTATAAACAGTTTCGGAATACGCCAATATACATTGTATTTAATTTCTATATGGTGTACACTTTGTCAGTAGAACAAACGTGACAAGTAATAGATAGAGAAAACCACTTCCCTCTCTCTCATGCTGCACTTTCTCTATCCCTCTTTGAAATCCCTAGCCAGCGACACAAAGGGTGGTGGGATGAATCAGCTACTGGTGGATATCGATCGAGATTGCTTGCAATATCGCTGAGGTTGACTTGCTAACATAGATGGCCATGTGGGCCGCCGAGGCTTGTCGGGCCGGCACGGCCCGACCGACGCACCGGGCCGTGCCGTGCCAGCCCACGTGCCGCACTCACGGCCCAACACACCTCGGGCCGTGCCGGGCCGGCCCGTAGGCATGATGGGCCATTGTGCTTTTTCTCAGAATAAGTCTATTTTTCATCCCTCCTATTGGCTGTGACATATATACAGCTAAAAAACGTCTATTTTACCTCCCTCTTCTTTGGGCTGTGGTATATAAATAGCTAAAATAAATCTATTTAAGGTCCCTATTCTTTGGACAATGACATATATATGTCTATTTTTAGTCCCTATACTTTGTGTGCCGGGCCTAGCCAGCCGGCCCATCGTGCCGGGCCGGCCCGACCGTGCCGGGCCAGCCCAGCGTGCCAGTGGGGAGGCCCAGGCACGGCTCGGTCGCCGAGCCATGCTTGGGCCGGGCCAAAAAGTAGTGCCGTGGGCCGGGCCTTCGGGCCTCGGGCCTTATGGCCATCTATACTTGCTAATGTCCTCCCCGAGCTCGATGAGGAGAGCCGTTGCAACTATGGTGGATCTTGGGGCTTGTGATGGTTTTACATCTAGGGCCGTTTAGGAGGTAGGGGCACATCCTCACTACCTCCCTTCAAAAGTTCCTCCTCCATTACCAGTCACTCGAGATATATATGGAACGTGTTCGCATCAACCATCTTCACTACCTCCCCTCCATGACAGAATTGGGTTGTAAATTTGTCTAGTTCACTAGCTTGTTGATTGGATTGGATATAAGAAGTTTCCGCAGGTCAGAAATTGGGTGAACAATTCAATTCGAGGCCCTATGATTTGCTCAACTTCGAATTTGAAAAGCTGTGATGCGTACGTCGAAGTTTTGGGCCGAAATTTGTTCGATGTAAATAGCCAAGTTTCGGCCCAATTATGCTCGTGCAATTATTGGGCTCATGGCCTGCGGCTAATACCTAGCCTGGACAGGCCCATGTAGACCACAACATTTCACTTCGGAAAAGTACACCGAAGGTCCCTCAACTTGTCATTGAGTTACAAAATCATCCTCCAACCGTAAAACCAAATATCCAGCATCTCTTAACTAATCAAAACCGGTCACAATAGGTTATTCGATGGTTTTAAATCCGGTTTTATCCTACGTAGCGGCTGAGTCAGCATGGAACCCATATCGACTTCACATATCATATCAGTATGACACGTCATCTTTCTCTCTGTTTCCCCTCTTTTGTTGTCTCTCTTCCTACTCTCCACTCGAGCCGACTCGTCGAACACCTTGCCTCACAACCACCCCATGGCCGACCGCGTCCACCCCATGCCCGCGCCACCGCTGCCGTCCTCGTCTCCTCCGCCGGGACACGACGCCGCCACCGCCGCCGCCGCCACTGGCACCACGCCGCTGCATCCCAGCTTCCGCGGCGCGCCGCCGCCGTCTCCAAGCACATACATCATCCAAATCCCCAAGGACCAGGTCCTCCGCGTCCCGCCGCCGGACCGCGCGGCCCGCAAGCCGCCGCCGGCTCCACCACGCGTGCTGTGCCGCCTTCAGCGCGTTCCTCCTCCTGGTCCTCCTCGCCGCCGGCCCGTGGCCCGCGTTCCACCAGGCGCCGAGGAACGTGATGGTGTTCTCGACGGCGTTGACCGGAGGAGGCGTGAGCTTCACGGAGGAGTAGAGGAAGCGGCTCGATCGGCGCGGTGCCCCTGAAAATCTCACTAGCAAGCACAGATCAATCTCATCACTTCTTTCTTCTCTTAGATGGCCTGGTTGACTGCGAAGGTCCTGCTGCAGATGGCACCTCTTGAGCAGCCTCAACTGCTTCAGCTTTAGAGCTTCTCAAACTCCTCCTTGTCATCCTCGCTGATGGGCCTGCTCTTTCATTTTCTTCAACCAGTTCAGATTTGACTCCTCTGCGTCTAGTCCTCAGGTTCGTTAACATCCTCCCCGCTGCGCTCCTCCCTCACCAGCCGCTGGCCGCGCCGGTCGCACCACCGTGCGTCGCCGCCTCACCCCGACGACAACGCGTGGCCACAGCAATGGCGCCGCACGGCACGCGGAGGAGGAGGAGGTAAGGCAGACGACCGCATTACCTTGAATGGTTTTGTAAGTTGAGGAATGTGATATATCTGGTTTTGTGGTTAGGTGATGATTTTGTAACTCGATGACAAGTTGAGGGACCTTCCGTGTACTTTTTCCTTCATCTTCTCCTCCCTTCTTCTCAGGCTCGGTGTATATATGTACATCCTGGAACTGAAAGAATACACCCGTGGAAATACAGATTTGAGTAATCCAATTTATAGCAATCTAACTCAATAATCAGGATTACAATAATCTTAAATTGAAATAAACAGAGCATCAGTAACTCAAACAAAATTAGTTAAAAGCCATCACTCATTACTACCCCATCCTTTGTGTCTTTTTTTTTCTTTCAAATATTTGACACTACATAAGTTGTTACTACTTTCCACGAATTTGCCACTAGCACGCTTCATATTCTCACGAGTCTTCACTTGGTCATTAATTTGTGCTTTAGCGTATCTCTTCTTTATATAAAGCTAATGCCCACTAAAAATATAAAACTCAATATGCAAGTATAATATTTATTAGCACTCCTAAAACCTACATGCAGGTATGCCACATCAACCCATTAAGCACACAAAACTCAACATGCAAGCATATAGTAATTATATCTACAATTTATTTCATTCTAAAACTAAATATACACATGCTAAATCATCATTATCAAATCATTTTTATAATATTTCAATTCAAATCATTTCATCATTTCTCCATTATCTAACATATATCCCGCAGTAAAGCGTGGGGCATCATCTACTGAAGAGTGCTATCGCCAAAATAACAACCAGGTTTAATGATTTTGTGGGATACCTGGATGTAGCGGCTGGAAAACCGTTTCTTCAATAAAGATTGAGACAAAACTGAGATTGGGTAGAACTGAACAAAATTTGGCAGACGGAGAAAAAAATGGCCAAACGGTTTCGTATAGAAAAAAAAAAGAAAGGAGGTTATTCAATAGCCATAGTAGGTTTCATTCTTTTCTTCCATTCAAAAAGCCAAAGAAAAGGATAGTAAATTATCGATTCATCGTTGATAGCTCTAACCGGAGGGATATTGTGATAATAGCGGTGGATCAAACAAGAACTTGATGTCGATCTTAGATCCGAGAACTGAATATATTACAATGTAATATATAATGCCAGGGCAAAAGACAAAGATCACGGTCCAATTGCCTGAATCAAAAGCGTTTGCATTGCGTAGGATGAATAGAAAATAAAAGACATAACGGAGGTTAACTAACGAAAAAGAAAAAGAAAACAGAAGAAAATACATGTCAATGTCAAAATTCAAGCCATATAATTGCTCTTCACTTGTTCTTCTAGAAACGCTATCCGGTCGATCCGGTCTGATTGGCAGCAAAATTATTGGAATTTGGTGTCAATTCTGATTATGTCAGTGATTCCGTGTGATCACCAGTTGAGAGTTTAGAACAAAGCCTTTTCTCAGCCAGATCGATAACTCCGTAACTCGTTGCCAAAACTGCTAGAATCACCGTTGATGTCACTGCAAGTCTGCAACTACGCAGTCTCTTTCCAACAGGGCAGGTACTCGTCAATTCCAAAATATAGTTAATTTTAGTATTTAAAATCTTTACATATTGTAAAATTTATAGGTGATCCTGTATTCAAAATTCTTCCGTCCATCATCCGATACGCGGGCGAGGTGCGCGCAACGTCACGCGGAAGTTATATATGTAATTCCGTGATCAACTCGAACACGGGAGCAACCATCCGGTTAATTAAACCCATCAACACAAGAACGCTTGGGCGCTGGTTGTGTCGTGCTCGTGCGGCGTTGTGACAATATGGTAGCTATAGAGGTTATAAAAGCAATCGGCACCTTCTTCCTCTGGCAGTTTTGAATGTTTACAATTTCGGTATGCTTTTTAGATTCATACATAATTTCTGTTGCATTTTTTTCAATGATTTTTATTATAGATTTGCATAAAATGGTGGTATGAAAAATATGTAGTTTTCTGTTTAAAAACACACCCACTCTTCTATAAACACATACACGTACACCCTACTCTATGGCACCTCGAAAAGAGTAGGCTAGACCAACATATCTCGAGATACCAGAAAAAAGTTACCAGGAGTTCAATACCTATTAATTATCTAATTATTAACTGATATACAAATTAACATGGTTAATTAGGATTGCAAATTTACTCGGGTCCTGAATTAGGAAAATTAAACCCTAATAAATTGATGTTCATCGTATTTTTATTTATTTATTTCCATTGCAACGTACGGCTACTTTGCTATTTATAATAAAATTGTAAGGCTCCTTTGATTTGAAGGAAAATATAAAAAATTGTAGGATTTCAATCGTACATGATATTTTTTTCCTTTAAACAAAGAATTGGATATAACTGAATCCTACGAAATTCCTAATGAATCCATAGAAGTTTTGGCTGAATTTCAGTATGAGGATCACCTCGTGAAAGCTTCCTATGTGTTTTTTATCTCTTATTAAATTCCTGTGTTTTTCATGTCTTCTAATCAAATGAATGGTTATTCATGTCTTTTTCTATATTTTGTAATTCTCTGTTTTGCACTTCTATTCATGTCAAAATCCTATTTTATTTTTTCCTCTATTTTCTCAATCCTGCTATTTAAAGGAAGAGTATTTTGTAAACTGCTGCTTGTCCCTTCAACTGCCCTACTGAATTCTTTCTCTATCTCTTTGATTTTAAAAAGCTTAGTCACCCTCCTTCACTTCCTCTCTATCCTACCCTCACGTATATAACAAATGCTCCAGAAAAGAAAAACAGGTGCACCTAAAAAACTGACCAACCAAATAAAATAGGGAGAAAATTAAAAAAAACATTTTCCAAATAAATTTTAAAAAATTTTCCTAGATCCCGTTGTAAATGTGACTAATACCTCCATCCTATCATATAAGGGTTTTTAAAGGTTGAACACGGTTATTAAAAAGTAGATAAATTAAATAGTGGAATATTGTGATTTGATAAGAAGTGAAGGTGGGTAGAAAAATTAAATGATGAAGGATTGTAATTGGTTGATTTCGTCTTATTTAAAAAAATTAAGTAATTATTTATTCTTTGCATATTATTTGATTTATTGTTAAATATACTTTCATGTACACATATAGTTTTATATATTTTACAAATTTTTTTAATAAGACGAACGGTTAAACATGTGTTAAAAAGTCAACGGTGTCAAATATTTTAAAACAAAACAGAGAGAGTATATTTTAAGACATAGGGAGCAGTATTTAAGACACAGCCTCGGGTTACGACTAACGACCAGTGTATCAACCACACAAACACCAGCTAGCGACCCCCAAAAAGTCTCAAGCTTAGCTTGCTCGATCTATCATTGTCTCAGCAAGACAGCAACCAGCTGAACCAAGAAAGCAGAACACGTACTGTTGATTGATTCAGGCGAAGAGCCAACTTGTTCGATCCAGTGGCGATGGGTAATTTCGTGTGGATGGTGGCGGCGGCGGCGGCGGCGGTGGCGTCGTGGGCGTTCATCGCGGTGGTGGTGAAGCTGGTGTGGAGGCCCCGCGCCATCAGCAGGCGGCTGCGGGCGCAGGCCGTCGGCGGGCCGGGATACAGGTTCTTCTCCGGCAACCTCGGCGAGATCAGGCGTCTCCGCGCCGAGGGCGCCGGCGTCGTGCTCGACGTCTCCTCCCATGACTTCGTCCCCATCGTGCAGCCGCACTTCCGCAAATGGGTTTCCCTCTACGGTATGCCATGTTTTCTGAGGTTTAGTTTTTCGATATTTTAAAATGCCATGAGTACCAATTATTTTAATTTGTTAGCTTATATATATATATATATAATTGTGTGCTTATTATGTGTTGTAGGGAAGACGTTCTTGTTCTGGTTCGGGGCACAACCGAACATATGCTTGGCGGATATAAACATTGTGAGGCAGGTGTTGTCGGACCGTACGGGGATGTACCCTAAGGACTTAACTAACCCATACTTCGCACACCTACTTGGCAAAGGGCTTGTGCTCATCGATGGCGACGAGTGGAAACGCCACTACAAGGTGGTCCACCCAGCCTTCGACATGGACAAGCTCAAGATGATGACGGTGACCATATCTGACTGCACCGGGTCAATGATGTCTGAGTGGGAGTCTGAGTTGGGGATGAAAGGTGGAAGCGCGGAGATTGAACTGAGTCAGCGGTTTCAAGAGCTCACTGCTGACGTGATCTCGCGCACGGCGTTTGGGAGCAGCTATAGTGAGGGGAAGCAGGTCTTCCTGGCACAAAGGAAACTCCAGTTTCTTGCCTTCTCCATGTTTCTCACCATCCAAATCCCAGGGTTCCGCTACCTTCCAACTAAAAAAAACCTAAAGATATGGTCACTAGACAAGAAGGTGAGGAGCATGCTCAGGAACATCATCAAGATCCGGCTCGCTAACAAGGACACCATGGGATATGGGAACGACTTGCTTGGATTGATGTTGGAGACGTGCGCGCCAGAGCATGACGAAAGCCAGCAGTTGAGCATGGACGAGATCATTGCCGAGTGCAAGACCTTCTTCTTCGGCGGGCATGACACTACCTCGCACCTGCTCACTTGGACCATGTTCTTGCTGAGCACACATCCGGAGTGGATGAGGAAGATCAGGAAGGAGGTGACAACTATGTGCGGTGACGAAGTGCCCACTGGTGACATGCTCAACAAGATGAACTTACTCAACATGTTCCTTCTCGAGACTCTAAGGTTGTACAGCCCTGTCTCACTCATATCGAGGAGGACTGGCACCAATGCCAAATTCGGTGGCATCAAGGTGCCTGAGGGCACCATCCTAAGGATCCCAATCGCAACAATCCATCGTGACAAGGAAGTGTGGGGTGAGGACGCCGACGAGTTCAAGCCGGCGAGGTTCGAGAATGGAGTGTCCAAGGCAGCGAAGCACCCCAACGCACTACTCTCCTTCTCTAACGGGCCGAGGTCATGCATCGGGCAGAATTTCGCCATGATTGAGGCCAAAGCCGTCATCACCATGATCCTGCAGAGGTTCTCCTTCACGTTGTCCCCTAAGTACGTCCACACGCCAATTAGTGTGATCACGCTAAGGCCTAAGTACGGTCTTCCAATGATCCTTAGGAGCCTCAAGGTAAAAAGAGATCTGTAAGATCCAAGGAATGTTTTACTTACACTGCTTTTTTAGCACCGCTTTGTTGTACACGAGTTGCTTCCTGATAATGTTATCGTGTAATGTATTGATATATATATTTCAGTTATACAAAATTGGGATGTAAATTTCTCTAGTTTGCTTGTTGATTGGATATAAGAAGTTTCTGTATTTCTAGCATATCAACCAATTAGTCTCTTCAGTCGAGCAATATGATACTTTGTGAGTCCAATCAGGCCAAATGGTTGTCGACAATGTCATTTACTTGTCAATCAAGACGGAAAATAGAATATACATGTAGAAAAAAGGAGCAAGTCTTGAAAGAAATGTAAAAATTAACCACCTAAAAAATCAATATATTATTAACTAAAGAGCAACTCCCTCCCGTTTGTGTATACTATAAGTCGATTTGACTTTTCCTCTAGTCAAACTTTTTTTAGGTTTAGCTAAGTTTATAGCATAGTTTAACGATATCTACAACATCAAATTAGTTTCGTTAAATATATTATTGTGTCGACGGAGTAGATCACGACTACGGTATTTGCAGAGTATGAGGATCGTTGGTACCAGGGTATACGCGAGATTGAGTTAAAAGAGACGGAAACAATGATTTTTATATAGGTTTGGGCCCCTTATCTCTAAGGTAATAGCCCTAGTCCTATTGGCCGAAGCCGGTGTTGCTCTTATTTATCAGAATCACACAAGCACAATATTTGGGATAACCAATCTAGTCGTCAACGACTTGGCGGTATGGAACACCACATGTAGTCAATGACGAGGTAGTCTTCCTCCTCGAATACGAACACGGCGAGATCAGAGATAGCGCTAGATACCTCTTGTCGGACTCTGAGGCACTAGATTGGGTCTGTCTAGGTTTATCTCCAACGTCGATGTTTGGTGGCGTCTATTGGTGTCTATTCTGACTGAGCGTGTCTATTCTAGCTAGGCTTGTCTTAGTCCCCCCCTAGGGAGTCTTGTATTTATACCTATAGATGTCCCATTATCTAAGTAGAAATAGGAAGACTAATATGGATATGATCCGACTAGTCATTGTAGTTTCCATGTAGAGCTCTGTTTCTCCTTCCTTATCCGGAATACCTTCCATATATGATGCATGATTTTGTATAAAACTTAGTATATGGTAGGCTTCGCCGAGCTCAACCCAAAACTATTGGGTATGCCTTGTACATAACACTGACGCATTGAATATATTTTGATAATATGTTTGTTTTGTGTTGAAAATATAGTTATATTTTCATAAACTTGATCAAACTTAAAAAAGTTTTACTAAAAAAATCAAAGTGATTTATAATATAAAATGGAGGGAGTAGAAGATTATTCACTTTCTTGATACATATGACGCCATCAACTTTTAAACATTGTTCCACAATTCATCTCATTAAAAAATTAACCTTTAGTTATAAAATAGGTCGCAACAAAATAAATAATAATTATGTAATTTTGTAAATAACACGAATGGTACTATTCAAATATGTAGCTCTTATCTAAAATCAGGTGTTCCTCTAGTTGATCGGGAAAGTCACATGCAGAAGACAATTAAGGCCAGGTTACAATGAGACGAAGGGAAACAATGTTTAAATAATACTCCCTCCATATAGTCATATTTCATCTTGGCACACAGATCAAGGATAAGTAATTCTACTTATCATTTAAACATGCTACTAGTTATTCCTCGTAAACAAGCGATTCATTAATATTTACATTTCTCGATGCCCAGGTAGCCAATCTTGTGTGTAAGAATAGAGAGTCACGCATTAAATCCAAGAAAGTCATTAAGAGGATAGATTGTTGGATTGAAATATGCCTATCAAAAATAAATTTTTTAGATTTGTAAATATGACTATCAAAAATAGATGGAGGGAGTAAATAGAAAAGTTTATAAGGTTCACCTACTAGGAGAGAAAGGGAGACACTGTTTCAATAGAAGAGTTTATAAGATCCAGCTACTAGGAGAGAAAGGGAGACTATTTAAATAAAAAGTTTATAAGGTCCAGCTACTAGGAGAGAAAGGGAGACAATGTTTTTTTTTAAAAAAATGTTTAATATGTTATTCATTAAATAGCTCAAAGAAACAAATACTTCATATGCTCAGTTTGTATAACCGGTGACTTCAGTGTTGACTTGCAACTCGCAACAGCCACATCTCAAAAGAGGTAGAGCTTATTTGGTTTAGTGCCCTATTAAAATAATAATAGTGTTAAAATCTTGATAAGTTTTAACACGTTATAAAGAAAAGGTGTGTTTGGATTGATGTTATTTAGAAGTCAAATTTTGTATAGTAGTGAAGGAAGTTTAATAACTATGCCAAATTAAACATTTTTATTACCAACTTATTGGATTCAAACCAAACTATCTCATTTACTATTCAAACTATCAAAATATATTTTGGTAGACATGTTTTAGCATCAATCCGAAATGACCTGGTGTACCTTTTTTAGCGATTGGCTCAACACGGTCGTTTGACAGTGGGCTTAAAGGAGGCCCAATACATGCGGGAGTCAGCGAAAGAGCACCAGAAGAAGCCCATGCCATCCCATTCGGATCGGCACATCCTCTCAAAAACGGCCCAGTCGAGCCATTCGTACAAGCCGCCGGCGGCGAGATTTGTTTTACAACAATTACTACTCCTAAGCCCCGAAAAGTAATTTATGGAATAAGTACGACATATTTACAAACAAAAAATAATTTGTAAATAAAACTTCTATATACGTGTTCTTAGCGATCTAAGAGGCTAAAAAATAAACTTCGATAAAAAACCACAAAATCTGCTCTAAATTTAAGGTTGAAAATTTAAATTTTGGCAGATAAGCATAAGCATAAGCGAAAAGATGAGGCCTCCATCTTTGTGTCCAGATAAGAATAAGCATAAACGAAAAGATGAGGCCTCCATCTTTGTGTCCTCCAAACGCGTACACTTCAGATAGCGTACACTTCAGATAAAAAAGAAAGTTGTTCAGTTTCAAATATTAGTTTGGCGCTACATAAGTTTCTATTTTCCGTGAACACGCTACCTATATATTCTCCTGAGTTTTCACTTGCTCATTAATTCGTGTTTTGAGGTCTTTTGCCGAATGGAGTGTCCAAAGAAGCGAAGAACCCTAATGCGTTGCTCTCCTTCTCTAGCGGGCCGAGGTCGTGCATCGGGCAGAACTTCGCCATGTTGGAGGCGAAGGCTGTCATCACCATGATCTTGCAAAGGTTCTTCTTTACACTATCCCCCAAGTATGTCCACGCACCAACCAGTTTGATCACACTGTGGCCCAAGTATGGTCTCCCAAAGATCCTCAGGAGCCTCAAGATGTGTAGGATGGAATCACAAGAACTAAGCCAACCAGAGGGGGGTGAATGGTTGGTATACCCAAAAACCTAAACTTTTAGTGGAAATAAAAGTTACCCTCAAATTCGATGTAGATCGGTCTAACCGAGGTTGATCCGCCGGTCTGACCGCGCTCGTGCCGCCGGTCTAACCGGTGTTGATCACTCGGTACAACCGCCTGAAGATCGTCTGCCACGCCTGAAGTCGCTGCCGGTCTGACCGTCTCTCCTCCGTCAGTCTGACCGCCTCTCCTCCGTCGGTCTGACCGCCGCCTGCCGCCGGTCTGACCGCCGGTATATCACCGGTTAGACCGCCGAACCCGATTAAACACAAATCGAAGAACTCTTAAAGTAGATGACAACTTTATTGCTTCTATCTATGTTTACAAAGTGCATCAACAGCACTCCTTACAAAAATCTCGACTAAACTTGAAACCCTAACTAAACTAGCAACTCAATTGCTCTCAAAAGCGATACCGGGAAGCTTCACTCTCCCCCTCTATTTATACATGAGGTAGGCAGCCTAAAGCCACGAACCAAACTCATACTAGAAGTCCTAAACACCTTAGGAAACCCTATAGTATAAGAAACAAACTTTACATAACCAATCATACCAAATTTGGACTCCTTCCAAATTCGACTCCGCATCTCACACGCACACAATACCTCCATCATATGCCATATGGAATCTTCACCAACCACGTGCATCAACTCTAGCATAAGTATCCCGCATGATATCTGACCACCACGGACATCGTCTTACCACCAAGCCGACTCCCGGTCCATCACCGCAAATACTCTCCCGAGGCATCGAATCACCTACACATGAAACAAACAAAGAAACCATATTCCGAGACCAAGCTATCACCAACTTGACTCATTGTTAGCAAACAACAGTATTACATACGTATAGTATCCATCTAGAAGCCATAACCATGAAACAATCACGGATATCCAAAGAAACAACCCGAAACCAAAACCGACACAGCGTCGGCCGGTCAGACCGCGGGCCGGCCGGTCTGACCGCTCAACACAAGCCGGTCTGACCGGCAACTACCGTCCGGTCTGACCGGTCCCAACAAAACAGCAAACCCTGTTCATCACTTGAAAATCAATTATCTCCAAAACAACTTCAACTGTAATCTCCAAATATCAAAACCAATAATCACAGATGCCAATTGTTCATCACAGAATAAGAATCAAAACACACGTTGATCTTACAAGATGTAAGAGAGATATGTAAGAACTAAGGAATGTCTGACTTATGCTTCCTTTTTTTATGCACTGCTTTGTTGTTCACGAGATCGGTTTTATTTCATTTCTACAAAACTGGATGTAAATTTGTGATGTTGGCTTGTAGACTGGGAATTGCTTCCTGATGTTGACTTGGGCTGCATTCCGTATATTACTACCCCATCCCCATCCCTGTGTCCTTTTTTTTCTTAAAAAAATCATTCAAATAGTTGGCACTACATAAGTTGCTACTACTTTCCATGAATTTGCCACTAGCACGCTTCATATTCTCACGAGTCTTCACTTGGTCATTAATTTGTGATTTAGCGTATTTTACCGAAATAACAGCCAGGTTTAATGATTTTGTGGGATACCTGGATTTAGCGGCTGGAAAACCGTTTCTTCTTCAATAAAGATTGAGACAAAACTGAGTTTGGGTAGAACTAAAGAAAATTTGGCAGACGAAGAAAAAATGGCCAAACGGTTTCGTATAAAAAAATGGAAAGGAGGTTATTCAATAGCCATTGTAGGTTTCATTACTTTTCTTCCATTCAAAAAGCTAAAAATGGATAGTAAATTATCGATTCATCGTTGATAGCTCTGACCGGACGGATATT